TTAAGTGTAATACATTAGATCTGAGTATGTTATCACTGTGATCATTATTAACCATTTTTAATCACTAATAAATTAGCTTGATAAATATTACGTGTTATCTTGCATGCATTATTTAAATCCAAATAATTTAATTGCAATATTACATTTAAATCTAATAATTTGATTATCATATATAGTGTGTTATTTATTTTATTCGCTTATTTTCATCAAAATTTCGTGATGTAACATTTGGTAGGAGAATTGGGACAGAATTGAAAAATTAAACAGCGCAAATAGCAATTTTCATCATTATTATTTGCTCTTCGATCTTAACTGATACAGTAAAAGATGATATTAATATGCGTTATTCATTATAATTTTTACATAAAATCATTGTTATTACTGAATTATTACTGCTTAATTCATTATTAATGTTAACACTGTAATGATTACTATCATCATTATTGCAATTACTAATATTCTTACTATATTATTACCGTTATTAAATTAACTACTGCTATCATTGAGCATGGATTGCTACATTCGCTTTTTTTAGTCGTTTACTTAATATAATTTAATTTGAATTTTTAATGTATTATACGATAGCACATTTAATGAGGTTAGAAATGTGTTTTTGACTGTTACTGAATAGGCAATTTTAATCATTCTTCGCCAAAATTGAGCAATTGAAGATCTCATTCGGTCGATTAATCTCCATTTCTTTTTTTTAAATATTTATTTGGTTCGTTTAAAAATTAAAAATTAATAATTCCTTTGATTTTTTTGGATGACGAAAAATGAATACAATTTCAAAAGTAATTTAATTTTATCTAGGAGGACAGAAGATATTGAGTATTTCCCGGATAAATTGATTATCTAAATATAATAGAGAAAGTTTATTACAATTGTTTTGATCATATCATAATCATATTATATCATATTACATCCTTGAATGCTTATATTCAACATTAAATAGAATATTTAGAAATTAAAATCTACCGAAGAAATGATGTTAATCCATACAGGATTAAATCAAAATTGATCCCGAGAGAAATTTCATCATCCCTGCAAATAAAAATTTACATCAAAAAATGTTTCAAAATTTATTTGCCGTCAAATGTGTCAATCGCTCCCGGAAAGGGGAAAAAAATGAAAGGCGGGAAATATAAACTCGTGATTTTTCGAAAGTTTAATTTTTGGAAGGAATTTTCCTTTCAACAAACTTGTTTGTTTAAAATATCAAACTTTTTTTTTCATTTTGACAAGAACCAGTTTACCGGTAATTCCTTGGTAACCGCTGGTATATTTACTTCCTCCACTCATAGCAAAACAGATAGCAAAACAAAATTTTTCGATAGGAAATGAAAAATTTGCTTTTTTTTTAAATCAAAATTTCTTCTGATCATTCAAAATAACTGATCAAGCATATTTTTGCAATACAATGTCAATCGATTGATTAATTCAATATTAAACTATTTTGTCATATACGCTTCATAAAAATGCAACATTTGAGATTTAAGTTTGATGCAGGCAAAAAAGCTCAATAATATTTTCGATAATTTAATAAATTTCAATCATTCATAATCTTAATTTGTGTCAAAAACTTCTGTGCACGACAATGCTTCGTGTAGAAGTGAAAATTCTGGAATAAGGTAAGATGAAAAATAAACAATCTTTAATTAAGATTGTGCAAATAGTGATATTAATTTATAGAATTATGGAAAAATCAAGAAAAAAAAAAACCTTCCGATTGGATGATAGAGGAAAAATTTTTTTTGCACATAAACTTTCATTTCAAACAGAAAATGAACATATCTTTGATATTATCTCATCTTAATAGAATAGAACTTTAATCATTTATTTAATGAATCAATTATTTTGTGTAAAATTTCGAAATAATTCGAAATGACTGAGCATTAATCATTGAGAAAACTCATATTTACATTCCAATATCTAATAGATGTGATATGAGAAAAGAAAAATTAAAATGTTAGTATGCGCAAATATGCGCAAAATGATAAGATGAACAAATAAGATAAGCCTGTTGTCATATTTCTCCTCATACATTTTCTTCAGTTAATCATTGAAAATTTTGACTCATTCAATTAATAAAAATCGATCAAATTTTCAATCGTTTCATTTTGCAATGAAATGATGATGCCTTTAAAAAGGAATAATCATTCATTTTCTCATTACATTCTATTACAATCAAATGATTTTACACACAGTTCCATTTTGATCATTTCTCAAAGACGATCTGCGAAGTGGAAAATTTTAATAATTGAGCAGCAGCTGATAATTGCACAATTAAACGCAGTTGAAAATTCGAAAATTTCCCATTACAACATATTATTTTTTGCTTATTAGAAATTCTGGAATTAAATATTTTTATTATGATAATTGTAAATTTCCATTATAACAGTTAATGTTAATGTTTAAAATAAAAATAATATTATTAGCAGAATTATTGAATGCATCATCAATTTACGCTTTCCATTTTCATTCCTTTCAACATAAATTTTATTGTCAAATCCATTTAGGAGTAATTATCATTCGCATAGCAAATTTCTAATTCGCACAAATGAAAAAGGATTTTTAATTCATGTCAATTATTGAAGATTATTTTAAATTCACTTATCATTTTCTTTGACAAATTGATGATTATAATTTGGATTATGTTATCGTTTGACTTTGTTTAATCAGTAAGATTAGGCGAAATTAATAATGGTACTAATAGGAGTGATATATTAATCAGTAGAAATACAATTATAAGGTTGATTTGAATTGGATAATTTAGCTGAAAATTAGATGGAATTTAAAAAAAAAAAGGAGTGCTTAGCAAAGACCAATGAGTAATTTGCAGGTACTTTATGCACTCAAACAAAGAATCAAAGTTACGATGTGAAGATGAATGTGAAGAAGTTTACTTTTCGTTCTTCACGTACGGTGCGTGCGTCAATGATATTTACAAGAAATTACCGAAGAAAGCACAATCGCAGTGTAATTTGCGGTATTACTCTTTTCAGTTATAAATCAGTTCATCTCATTAAGTTATGCATATTGCACCATTAATTTTCTATAGTGATAATTCATCTTTTTAAATTATCATTATGAGAATTTACTCAAATCCGAATTAGAATCCATGCTTTAAACATATTTAACAATTAAATATTGGATGAATGATATAAATAAGAAAGGAAAATGGGAAGAAAAAAGACTCGAAATTCAAAAGCTCAATTTTAATCGAATTAAGATTAAAAAGAATTTATTAGTATTTCTGTGCATATATCATAATATTGTCAAAGAATCATATATTTAAAGATTAAAATCCAACATGGAAACTAAAAAAAAAGTCCCCATATTGGTTCCTGTACTGTAGTACAAACTGCTTATGCACTTTAAATCGTAAAAAATAATTTGATGCTATGAAAAAAACTACTAATTTCCTTTTTTTTCCCCTCTACGAATATTTCTCTAAAAATAATCAATTATTCAGTGAATTCGGTAATTACTGGATTGGACTAATTACTGATTATCACTGAATTTGATTGAAAAGTTACTGGAAATGATATTTTGTGTTTGGTCAAGATTTAATGATAGCAGTAAGCTGAAATTGAACAAAATTATCTAATTGATGAATATTTGGCCATTATATGATGAACACTCTCACAAAAATACATATTTAAACTTTTTTTTTTTAAAAATTTAACGACAAGATATTTATTTTAAAGTTTGTTGAAAAACTAACTAAAAAAAAAATGCAAATCTCAACAAAAAAATAATCCTAATTTGCTCTAAAATATCTGGAAATTATCAGCAAGCAATTTTTGCATTTAATTTATTTCATTTCGCATCGCTATCACAAAATATTTCTTCGTTGACTGTTGATTTACTAGCAAAATAGATTTTAAGATTTTGATAACGAAATATCTTTCATTGAGCCAATGAAATTTATTTTGTCTTCTAATACACTGTTAAATTTTAAATCAATTCTATATTTTTTCTAAGCTAAATCATATTTTGTCACTTCATTTTGCAGACATATACAATTTTTGCTGCATGCATGCATGTATGCATGCACACATTTTATCCGTTACTTTTCTTTGTAGATGTGGTGTAAGGATCCGTACCCTGGCATCCATTGGTATTTTTCTGACATTTGCTGCAGCACTTGCAACTCTCATCTTCACCTTACCTCTTTGTGTTACCACATGTTTATCATGCTTGAATGCACGAAAGGTTCGTTTTATTGTCTTCTTAAATTTTTTTTTTTCAAATTTTTACATAAAAATAAAATCACTTGAAAAAAAAAAACATTTCGCAATAATTAATTTTCATTTCTTTAATTGATAAGAAGAGAGAGAAGCAATTTTTTTCGTATTCTTTCTTATCAATATTAAATTTAAAAATTTCTCATAATTTTTCAAACTAATATTTGCTAACAAAAATATTCCACACATATATTGAATAAAAAAAAAATTTTTAGGAAAAATTTCAAAAAATTTCGAACACTTTTTTTTTGCTCTCATTGTATGGAAATTTTCAAAATATTAACCTTTCTATCTATTTATGTTCTAATTTTCTTTTTTTACCAGCTGCCACAAATATTTTTTCATTTAATGCCTGGAAAGTTCACATTTGATATAGCAAGAAAAAATTCATCCATCCATTCGTCTTTCTATTTCACCTTCCAAAAAGAGAAGTGGGCCAGCAAGTGAACATGAATGTGGAACACCTTACCAACCAGAAAGCGCCTTCTTTTTTTTTTTTTTTTTTAAATTCTATTTTACCCAAAAAAAAAAAAAAATGTTGCATTACTACATTACGATATATCTTTCGTACAAATATTCATTCAGTGAATTTTTGTGAATTTTTAAATTGTCATAAATTATAAAATAGATTATATGCATTACATTTTCTGCACACTATAATTTAAAAAAAAAAAGCGAAATTAACAGCCTTTTATGTCTAAATATCCTTTTCTTGAATATTTTTTTTTTAAATCAGCTGTTATTTGCTTAATGAGAATGAAAATTTCTGGTATTACATTTGTAACCATTCTCGAAGGTCAGTTTTATAGATGTTAGAGAATTAAATAAATTTTGTATACTAATTTTTCTTCCGATTTATACTATCCAACAAGAAAATTAACTAAGTGATTTTCTTTTTTTTTTTTTGCAGCAACAAAAATTTACATTAAAAAGAATTGCTAACAATCATCTTATCTTCGAAAACACTATCATTTTATCAGCTGTAGCAATGATTGCAAAAAGTATATTAGTAAATATGAAGAAGTGAAATAATTGTTTACAAAAAAATTCACTATCAAAATTGCTACCTTACATGATCAGCACAAAGTTGTTTTTTTCTTGAACTGAAATAACTTTAAATGATCATTTTCAAATTTGAAAATAACTTTTGTTATTTCATTTCTTATTTTTGCATTAAAGATGCTTAGTTTGTGCACAAATACATCACACTATACATTGAGTTTCTAAAATCTGATAACAAAAAAATTTTCCTTTTTTTTTCAATGTTTGTTTCAAAACTCGTTTTCATTTTTAATTTATGCTATAAAATGAGAAAATAGAAGACGAGGAAGAAATGATATGAGAAAGAATGGAAGCAAAATGAAAAAGGAATTAAAACGGATGAAATGTATGTTTGTGTGTGTGTGTGTGTGTGTGTGTGTGTGT